CGGCGGGTTTCAAAAAAAAAAACTTCAAAATCGACTTCGAAGCTCAAAAAAGACATCGATACTTACCTTAATGTGTTCTCCTTTCATATATACTACCATATTATGGCTTAATCCCACTTTGCACCCTTGAAATGGAGCATTTTGGCACTTTGCACCCTTGAAAAATAATAATAGCACTTTGCACCCATGAAACACAATAAATACATCACAATGCACCCTGAATAGAATAATAAAAGCAATTTCATTTTTATTGGTTATTTTTATTTTCAAGGTACAAAATAACAAATTAAATTGTTATTTTCTTCAACATCCAACCTAATTTCGAGTGAAACCAAGTGGGAAAAAATAAAAATCACACCGGATGATTGAAAAAAAAAACTATATTTTCTTACAATATAAAATAAAATAAACTTTTATAACTTACTTATTCGATTGATGGATCTTTTATTGTAAATATTAGGTAGAAATATTTGGAAGAAGATATCATTTTTCAAATAACTTGATAACGAAATAGCTTAAGGTTTTTTTTTTTTTTTTTTTTTTTTTTTTTTTTTTAATTTCCAAAAAAAATTTTTTGGGAAAAAAAAAAAAAATTTTAAAAAATGTGATGAGATATATTTTTATTTTTGGAATTTATAGTTCAAGATGATTGATGAATAAAAAAAATGATTTCACATTTGTCCTCTTAAAAAAATACCACCAAAAATATTAAATCATTTTATTAGCTTAAAATTTCATTTGGGGTGCATTATGCATGATTTATTGTGTTTCGAGGGTGCAAAATGCTATTAATTTATTTCAAGGGTTCAAAGCGCCAAAATGGTATATTTCAAGGATGCAAAGTGGGATTAAGCCACCATATTATTGTCTTATAACTCAATTTTATACGTTTTGTGAGGTTTTAATTTCTTTAGTTTTGAAATTTTTTAGAAGGGTTTGTTGTGAGGAAGATTTTTTAGAAGGGTTTTGGGGAGGAGAAGAAGGAGGTGGAGAAGGAGGGAAATGGTTTTTTTGAGTTTTTGATTATTTGGTATTTAAGAAAGAAAAATAGTATTTGTAATATTTTTTTGGTTTTAATTTCATTAAGGGTATTAAAGTAATTTACAATTAATTATTTATTTTTTATTTTTTTGGTATTCAAGTAAGCAAAAGTTGGGATTTGAAATAGTGATCCCCTTTAAATATTACTCTTTTGTTTAAGTAATTACAGTCACCTCATCCTTTTAAATATTTTCACATAAAATTTATGTCATTCGGTTATTTACCGAAGTGAATCATATATTCAATTCGGTAAACGGTATGAAATGTTGGCGTACCGAAATTTAACATCCCTAAAATTTTACATCTAGAGGGGTTTTCTCGTAAGATAATACATAGTTGAGGGGTAACTGTAATTATCCAAACATGATGGGGTTTTTCGTAATTTGACCATAACTCACGGGGTGGGCGTAATTATTATTATTATTATTAGAGTAAATTACTAAAAAACCCCTGAAAGGCTAAATGACGAAAAAACGCCCATCTATCCGTAATAACCAAAATCCCCATGTGATTAACTGCTGATCGAGTTTTTAACAGAAAATGTGTACAGTCTATTATAACTTATGTTAAATAGGTGATATGTAAAAGAAAATATCTGAAATTGTGTAAAGTCTATTCCCTGTGGTGTTACGGAAACAAACCTCGGAGGTTTTTTGCTAATTATGAATAGGTGGGGGTGTTTTTCATTATTTAGCCTAAATACAGTGGGGTTTTCGTAATTTAGCCTTGTTAGCAAAAATAAATGACACCACTATTTGGTCTTCCCGCGTGTTGGTGCGGGTTTATAAGTGTACCCACGGATTCGGGGCTCCATCTCAAAACCAAACCATGCTGACCGGGCGGGAAAGCTTGCTTAGGGTTATTGGCAAACGACGCCGCTTCCTGCCGAACCGCCAAATCGTCTCCGCCTCTACTTCCGCCTCCACCTCCGCCCCCACCTCCGCCTCCCTGGTAAGTATTCAACTCAATGTCCTTTCGTATTTTTCTTTTCATTTCTCAAAGATCCGGTGATTTTATTTTTATTTTTTTTATCTATAAATCTCTGTATATATTTGCTCAGCAAAGCTATGTGTATCTGTCTGTACAAATGTATTGCATATATATATTGCTCAAGCTATATTCGAATGTTTTTTGTTTGCAAAATGCCTGAGTTGTTTGAGCCTATGCTAGAAAGGTGAAATCGTTGAGAGAGACGCTGTGGAGAAGGGATCTGACTGTGGCGGTGTTGCGGCGGAATCTGTCAACTGTCCTGTCTGTGATGCCCTACTTCCCAGCCTGGATAGTACAATCATCAATTCTCATTTAGGTAATTCCTCTGTATAGATTTATTTTTGCACCAGATTTATCATTTTGAATATTTCATGCTGCCAAAGAATCATTTATAACACTTCCGGAATAAAAGTTAACTCACCCGACCTTCTTAGTTGTGAACATCGTTAGAAGTGATTACAAGTACTGTCATTTGTTTGGTGATATTGTACTTTTACAGTAGTTCATGACACTCCCTAAAATAGTTAGGCATGGTCGATCTATTGAAATATGGGATGTTATCCGGAAAGTATTTTGTTGCGGTTTTCTTTTTATTTAATTTTAATATGAGGTGTTTCCCCGATGCAATTCTAATAAGCTGTAGCAATAGCCAATATGCATATGAATTGTTTGTGATACGTTCTACGTGCTGAGCACATTGATCATGAATCGAGTAATTAGAGAGCACGTGTATTTCAGCAATATCAAGGAGATAGATGGATACATAATTTCTTAGCTTTAATCGCTGTTCACAGTATAGCAAGTAGAGTTGGAGAAGCTATTATAAATGTTATTGAATGCCATGCACTATCTCTCCTTCTACGATCTTTCTTTATGTTTGAACAATATTTTTAATGATGTATACTATTTATTTGATGGTTTCAGATTACTGTCTTGCTAAAGGAAGGAAACGGAAACTGAGCCAAGTTACACTTCTTCAATTGAACTTCTCCAGGTCCAAAATTAAAGTGAACTCCATTTCGCAAGCAGATAAACAAACTGAAGTTATTCCAACTGAACCTAATAGGATTATCTCTTCTGATACATTTAATAATTCGAATGAGTTGGATAGTTCTAAGGAGTTTGTTGATAACAGCCACTCGATTTCTTTGAGAAACAATCAGTTAATAAGATGCACAGAAAATTTGGTAGCCAACGCCAACGCCACTGCCAATGACAACTTTATCTCACCGTTATTTCTCCCGGGTATTAAGGAGGAATGTTTGGACGATTGTGACATATGGAAGGTATTTATTCCAACTTCCATTGTTGGCCGTAGATATGGAAGTAGAGAGGAGTTAGTTCCTGAATCAAGGATACGCCTCTCTAGAGACCCTGAGAATGTTAAGGATCGAAATGCTATCAAGGTTCACTTTTATTTAACTTTTCTTTTATTTTGCTTTCTACCACCTGATTTATCAGTAAAAGAGCGTTATATGCCTTTTGACCAGGTACATTATGTGGATTGTGAAGATGATAACATGCTTGGTTATATACCGAGGGAATTAGCAAAGTATCTCTCTCCTCTAATGGACAAATTCCACTTGAACTTTGAGGTAACAGACTGGTGTTGGAGTACATATTTGCAATGTTGGATTCAGTTTTTATTTGGACCAAAGAATCATTATTATTGGTGAGTCTTAATTGGTGGGGCCTTGCAAGGTGCAAAAATGAGATGTTCAGATGATAACACCTTGATTATCTGCTAAAGAATTTATGCAACTATTATCCAACTAAAGTTTCTGAGGATATCTTTCCATTGCTTTTTTGTTTTTTAATGTGTACTGGGTCTGGATGAAAATTTTGGTGCTTTGAATGATTATCGGTGCTTGCAGCATCATGTTTGCTTTTCACTCAATATTTTTGCTGTTTTACATTTGTAGCCACAAAGGAATAAGAAAACCAACTCAGCACCTTATAGTTGCACGCCTCTTAAAATGCAGTTGATCTGCTAATTTTAGCAATATCTGTTAATTGTTGTTAGTCAACCTTTTAATTCATAAAAAAACATTTACAGGGCAGTATTACCTCCCTACCGAAAGATTTACGAGCTGCTGTACCAATTCAGATAGTATGCAAAAATGTGGAATTATGTGACGAAATAGATTCCAACAACAATCAAGAATTTAAGTCTTTATGGAGAGATGTTTTACATGTTGTTGAACTTGCGAGGACTAATCCCTCTGGGATGACCAGGTATCAGCATAACTTGGCACTGCTTATACAGGAGGTTTTAAAGAGTAACTCACATCTTTTTACGAACAACGAAATGTCTTTCTTAGGTACCGTATTAATCAATTGCTGTTATTGACATGAGTATGACATGTTATCAATCTATCGAGTGATGAAGTTTGTGCTTATCTCTTTTCCAGAATCATACGACTCATTTCCAGATGATAGTAAGAGACTTTTTGCTCGGCTCTACACGCGCAAAGGTTTTATGCTTATAAAACATTTTCTGTCAATCCACCACCACCACCAATTTCTGAATGCCTTGCTTCCATGTAATTTGAAGAAATCTTTACTTTTGAAACAATTGTTTACTTGATAATAAAAATCTCTAAGGAAAAGGTCCATTTGGAAATAGCTACACGAGACTTACCTCTTGAGAACTGTACTTATATGAAGCAGCAAGGAGAACTTGATGCTTGCTATATTTTAATTCTATAAATTAATCATTTGTACCTTCTAGAGAGATCTGTTCTCGACTTGCAGTTTGTTTTTCAAATTTGTTATGACACTGTTACGCCATGGTCCTTTTTAGGTTTTTTCATCCTATTATGCTATTTGATAATCTGAGAGATGGTTGGTTTCACTTCTCAGGACCCTGGTTTCGAATGTCTAATATTTCATACCCTGAGATAGCTAATAACCACCAAGCGATAAAAGAACTTGTAGGTAACTGAGTTTCACATTTACTGTAGTGAATCTATATTCTTTTTCATGTTACTAAATGAACATTATTAAAAACTTCTTAATTTTCTCAAAATGTAGAAGCAGGATATTTATGTTCCTTCCCATTGCCGAATAAGCTAGAAGACAACAACTTAGAGGAGGTTTTGGACGTACTTAACATTGATGAGCTACGAGAAGCTTTGCGAGTACTTAAAAAGGTTGTGCTATTATAAACTATTAAGATTTCCTGTAATGTATATAAAGCTGGTAAGTTTGTAGCGTATAAACAAAGATCTTTACTATCTAGTAATTACTTTCTTTCATCTGCCAAAGCTGATCTTCACCTGAACTAATTCTTAACGTGGTTGCTATGTATTTATGAAATAGCAGCGCACTCTTTCAATTTCCACTCTAGTTGCTGAGTGGGAAATGGTTATTAGTGTGTTGAGATAGTTTTGTAACTGTTACCTTCAGTAATCTACTGATACCAATATTAGATTTATGATAGTCTATGGAATCTTTTTTCCTTGAGGCAGTGATTAATTAATGCATTTTGTACAAAATGGAGCATAATGGATGGTTCATTCTAGATTTGAATGATTCCATGATGTACGCTCCTAAATTGATATTGGCTTCTGATGACTACACATAAAAAGAACTACTGTGTGGACAGATACGGGTCGCATATTTATACAGTGTTTCAATTACCTTATCTTGACATCAAGGAAATGTTTGGTAGAATTGCAATAAGAATTTCGATAAGATTTTATTTGCTCCAGGTTTCATAGTCTAAGTGTAACATCCATATAAACTTGTAGACATTTTCATCTCTTAATGTAACTTGTTAACAAAAACATCAGTTTTAAGTTAACTATTGTACACTTTCTCTCCCATTCTCATCATTTGTTCTATAAACAGAAAGTGCTTGTCATGAGAAATTTTTGTTTCTTTTGAAGAAAGTAAAATATTTCAGACTTTGATACATTTTTGCAACTTATAGTCTTATTACTTTCTATATTATTTATGATCGACATTTCTGGGGATGTGACCGTTGGCTCTCTTTCTTTCGCGTGAAACTGCAGAAATGCAATCATGGTACACGAAAGCAAGACCTCATTAATTTGCTTATATCTTTAAGCAAGGATGGCCACTGGTAAGGTAAATTTTGCATTAGTCATCATGTCCCTATCAAAATTTGGCTAGATCTGTCACATGATTGATCTTCAATACCTCAGTTCAGAGCTCCAAAGTTTTGTTTTAGCAACAACCGGCTCCTGTGTTAAAGTATCTCCTTTGGCCGAATCTCTAATATGGCGAGCTGAGGTTATTATCTTTCATTCTCTTTTAAACTGATCAGTTAGTATATACAAATATGTGCAAATTTTTGTGTATCTGTTGGATATGTTTCTAAGGGTGTTAAGTAAGAAAACTTTAAGCTCGGTTATTTTCTAACAGTACTACCTCTCTCTCTCAATGAAAACTCACTGGTTCAATAAGCCGCAGACACCACGCACAAGAACATGTGATAAGGAAATAAAGAGTTGCAAATATTAACACAATTTCTTAAAGCACTTAAAAAGGATGAAGTAACTTTCCATTGTACACCATTTATCTAGTAAAAGCATTTACCAAACGGGAAAGTGGTGATATTGTGAAGTAATTCAGTTTTTATTTAAGGCAGAAGTTCAAGCTCTCGCCTTTATTTTAGATATCCGAAGATAGAGTGTAGTTTAAAAAAGTGGATCAGTGTTGGCATCTCCAGTTCATTATGAGACGAAGTCTGACTGATTTGCCCTAGAAGATGTTGCTTCAGTTTCACTAGGTGTCAGGTGTCTCGTTGTCAACATATTGGGCACAAATAGCTAGCAAAACCTTTCAATTACATGTGTCGCTACACCTTCAATTATTTTGGATGCACTGCAATATAATTTTTTTTTTTGTTTATACAGAGGCTTTTCTTCCTTAATGGGGAGCAGGACCTGTCAGCGTTTTTACTTGTGGATTTAGGCATTGTGAAATATCCCGCTTACAGATGTATAATCTCAGAGCAAATCTTTTCAGTTAGGAGTGAGTTGCTTTCTTATGAAGAGGTGTGCTGTAATTTATCATTAGTTTTAACCGTAAAAATCAATGAATGTTGCTTTACTAAGGGCTCATTTACGTTTGCAGGCTATTGAAATTTCACAAGTGATGGTTGAATCTCTTGATGAGAATAACTCTGAGCTGGTCTTAGGATGCATAGACAAATCTGTCTCAAGCATTTCAATTTCTTCGAAAGAGAGCAAATCTTCAACTTGTGGATCAATGTCTGCTTTTTTATCGCACTTTTCGGCCTCATGGGTCTACTCTAAGGCGGTCTTACTGGGTGTTTCCTTTTTTGAGCGTGAAAAGAGGTAACTGTGTTTAAGACTTTAAGTACAAACTTTCCAACCCCATTGTGATTCTTTTCTCCTCAAATGTTACAACTTTCAAATACCAATTGCTTTCTAAAGTTCATCTTTGCTAATCTATACTGAGGAATGACATTCACAAAAAAAAAAAAAAACGAGTCCTGATAAATATATGCAAAAACTAGGAGCTGTGTTATTGTTTGCACTAAGAGACAGTTTAACTTGCCCAGTGTGTATGCATTAAGAATATCTGATGTTCTCTAGTAAGAACTTGTTGGCAATCTATCTAACATTCTTTTGAAGTAACATTTAAGTATTCGTAGGTACATTGACGCCATTAATCTACTCAAACAGCTGCTAAATACATTCACTTGTGATAGAAGAAGGGGATATTGGTCTTTAAGGCTTTCTGTTGATTTGGAACATCTTGGTCGTGTAGATGACAGCTTGCAAGTGGCGGAAGATGGTTTACTCGATCCATGGGTTCGTGCTGGCACAAGAATAGCTCTACAAAGAAGAGTACTACGGTTAGGGAAACCTCCTAGGCGCTGGAAAATACCAAGTTATTCCAATTCTGTTAAGAGGAAGATTTTCGAGGTAGATGTTTCTGTGAAGGAGTAGATGCCATGTGTTTTGCTTCTCGTTGTTATATTAGTGTCAGTACTGTATTTTGATATAACTGCTTTTTATTTTTGTTGGTTTGCTGCCAATTTAGGTTCATATTCAAGGAAGACCGTTGAATTGTAAAACAGGGATGAAGAGCGTATTTTATGGTGAAGATGGAGAACGATGTGGAGTGGAACAGCTTGCGTTACAATATTATGCTGGGGAGGGAGGCGGTTGGAAAGGTGTTCACACAGAGAGTGGGATTTGGCTAACTATTTTCGGGATCTTGATGTGGGATATTCTGTTTGCTGATGTACCAAATGTCTTCCGCACCAAATTTCAGGTTCACTCTTTTATTCAAATATAGACCAACAATCGTATTTACCATAGAAAGCTTGATTATTTAAAGTGAAGATTTCTGCGAACATGTTAAGTAATTTTCTCAGATTCTTTTTCCGAAACATGTTTCTCCAGAATAAATGGGAAACATAGTACCAAAAGGGGCGATGTTATCTCTTTTCAAAGTACATAAAAACATTACTTTTCTTTTTTCCTCAAATTCTTCTTCGGAAACATAATCTTTCTCCAGAATAATATGGAAATAAAGCCCCGAAAAGCGGCAAAACATTGCCTTTCTTGATTTTCTTTTGGGTCTTATGCAGACTGCACCACTGGATTTGGAGACTGATAGTTTCTACGAAGCAAGAAAGAGCCTAATAGAAGCACTCCTCGACAAAATTGTTAACGGCATGGCAGAAGAGATACTCATCACCGGGTGGGAATCACACGTAGGAACAGCCTGCCGAGGCGTGAACTGGGAGAAGCACTCATTGGCCGATCTTCGAGCTGCCGTAAAATGCATAGGCGGCTCTTGCCTTGCGTCAATATGCCGACACCTGGCGCAAGATTACAGGAGCTGGTCTAGTGGTATGCCTGATCTGCTTGTTTGGCGTCTCCATGACTGCTATAGTGGTGAAGCGAAGCTCGTGGAAGTAAAAGGCCCAAGGGATAGACTTTCCGAGCAGCAGCTTGCGTGGTTGCTATTTTTAATGGACTGCGGCTTTAATGTTGAGGTCTGTAAGGTAACTCCGGCTCTTCCTGTAGAAACGTGATATACGTTTGATTTCGTACGAGGCTGTCTCGTTTGATATAAGTTATTACAACCACTTGACTAGTACAGTATGATTCTATATATACATATATAAACATCATTGTTTGGGAAAACGATTGATACGGACACGATGAATTGGTCCGAGTCTCTACTTCGTCTACTTTTTTTTCATTCCTGAAAGACAACGGGATGATTTGTTAGGATGCTTAAAATGGCTCTATGTATTTAAGAGAATTTTATTATATATATATTTTTGTGTGAATATTGATATTGTCAGTTTATTTATATTATTTTTTCTTTTTACATTGAGTGGCATATTATATAGAGTAAATAACATTCAAACCCCTATGGTTTAAGGGGTTTGAACTTTGTGCACATAATTCTCTTGTACATAAACAAATGACTCCCTTCTGCTTTTAATATAAGCACATAATCCACTTATGATATTTTATTTAGCAAATAATCATGCTCAGGAAGATGAAATTATTGAAAATAGGTGTAATGTGCTTATATTAAGAATACAAGGACATCATGTGTATTAAGTCCAAACCATAGGAGGTTAAATGCTATTTACCATATTATATTTATAATCTATGGCTTATTAATTGGAGTAATAGTTGATTAGTTCATGGGAAAGTAGATTATGTTTGAATATGTATTTTGAGAGAAAAATGATAAAAAATACAAGATTTTTTATTATTTTTTTTAATCTTTAATTATACTATTTAAACTTTATCAAGTATTAAAACATTTTAATTTAATTTTAAGAGAATAAAATAATCAAACACAACAAATTCCCTGATAAGAACAGGACTTTTAAAAGATAAACAAACATAGTTTTGGCAATTGTGTGGAAAATTTTAAAATAGAGACCTTTTTCATAATATCACTAGTCATTAGGGGTGTGAATGTAATTACCGAAATCTGTAATTATTTTGCTCTCTAGTACTTTTCCAGTTTCCCTAAATAAAAGAGAAAAAAAATAAAAGGGATCAGTAAATTAATTTCTCCTCCACCCCGCCGGTTTTGCTCCCCTTACAGCTGCGGTCCTAATCAGCCAAGTTTGCCGGCGCTGCCGTATTTGGAAAACCCTCCGTTTAAAACTCAAAGGTATCTTATTTTCATTATCCTTTCAATGAATTTTTCAAGGGTTTTAAACATTGTTAGGGGGATTAAACCTATTTTTCGCTGCGATTTTTCATAGTAATCAAGCTTAATTTTTTACACACTGAATTAGTGAGTGTCCGCTAGTTGAAATCTACGGGGGCAAAAAATGCGATTCCTGATTTAAAAAAAAAATTGAGCAACAGAGAGATCTTACTTACTACTGGGCGATGAGTTGTTGATGGAAAAAAAAATATGTATGCTGGAAGTAATTAGTATTTAGTAATGATTAGGTAGAAGCAATTTTATGCAGCAGCAAATAAATTTCAGCAGAATTTATTTATTTATTGAAAGTGAAGCCCTTCATAGTTTGTGAGTGAGAAGAATGCAGGAATATAACATAGCGAGATCGTCGAGAATTAAAAGAAATGCCTAAGCTTGGACCTTCTAATGTTTTGTTTAAATAGAAATGAAACCCTAATCAGAAATCAATGGCTACCTCCTCGAGGAGATTTGAAAGATCCTCAAAATTGTAGAAGTTTGATTGGTTCCGTTTTCTCTTTCACATATGTGCACTCGTTAATCCCTTTTTGTTTTGGGACATTTGCTGTATTTTTTTGTTGACAATGATGACCTAGGATTTCGCTTCTTTAGTGTTGAGTAAAGATTGTTTTGGATTTATAAATGATTACGAAACTTTGTAGAGGGGAAGAAGCACCGATATGAAAGGCTATAAATTGTAGTGAGATAACAAAGCACCATGAATTTGCTGCATTGGTTGGCAGATGAATCCGCAATTAATTCAAAAAAATAAAAAATAAAAGTTTTAGGGGAGGGGTTGCCCGTACGTTTGTTTTGGTCAAATGTAGCATTAAAACAATTTTTCCTTTCTTGAATGATTTCCCGTCGCCTTGCTTTATAGTAGTCGCCCTGAGCAAAGGCTGACTGCTAATTAAAACGGCATTATGCAGTTCACTCATATCTAAATTCTATCGTGTCGAACATTTTCATATATCTAGTATTAATGGCTGACGTGTGTTTGCTTGTTTATCTTCAGAATAATATAACAATGGCCAAAGTTGAAGGCGATAGTAGGGAGCCATTGAACGAGCAAGCTGTTGCCAACATATACGGTTCCATGAGAACCGATATCAACCAAATCTACTCCAAAATCACCGAACTCGAAATGGAGGTTAGCGAGCACTCACTTGTGATCAACGCCATAAAGCCGCTCGATCCATCAAGAAGGTGCTACCGCATGATTGGAGGTGTTCTTGTCGAGAGAACTATCCAAGAAGTTATGCCAGCTGTCAATCGAAACAAGGAAGGTCTCGAAGAAGTCATTGCTCGCCTTAACGAAGCCCTTGAGAAGAAGAAAAAGGATTTGGCCGCATTTGAGGCCAAGTACAAAATCAGAATCAAGAAGGGTGACGGTGAAATGAAGGATGAAAGTGGTAAGAAAGAAGGGAATGCACAGGGAGTCCTCGTTGGTCCTGCTGCTAATGAATAGATATGCGATTTATTTGTTTTTTTTTTTAATCTATTTGATTTCTCGTGTTATTTTGATGTGAGAATTACAGAGATTTTATTGTCGTATGGTGTAACACTTTATGTTGAAGAAGATTGATTTTCGGTAACTTAAACTTGCCCTTGTGAGAACTTAGAGATCTGTATTTTGCTGACATAATAAGTTGGACAAGTTTTAGGTTGAATTTTGGGCTTATGATTTTGGAGTTTATTTGATCTAGTTATTTGGATTTATAATCATTCTTGAAGTTCGAGTAGATTTACGTGATTGACCTAAATAGAACCGATAACGTGTTGGAGTCGTTTTCGATTTTTTTTAGGCATTTCAGGTAATGAAATTGTACAATATGTGGAGAATGTCAGTCAGAAGTTATTTTTGTTTTTGGTTAATGAAGGAACCTGCAACTAACCATATAGGTGCACTGGCTGGGTAAACTTACACTCTATTATAGTTTGCGAACCGGTACGAGAGACGTAAACAAAACTAGGCTAACCATGTATGACAAACTCGACCTAACGACCGTTGGCAAGGGAATTCGAACATCTCAGATGTAATAAAGCATTGAGTTTATGTTGTGGCAAAAAAATACTTATTTGGAGTGAATATATAATTATACAAAAAAATAAAATAAAAAATAAAAAATCATATTTATATGAAATTTCAGCCTTTCAACAGTCCCAAAATTTCTCTACTTGATCCCAACTTCTCGCCCCTTTCCCCTTATTAGCTTAAAACTATGAATCTCCACATTCCATTCCATTACAGAACTTTCATCTTTCTCTCTCCTCTGATTTTCTTCCTCCAAGAGAGAGAGAGAGAGAGAGAGAGAGAGTACACACAATGGAATCTGTGGACGGAAAATTTACAGTGACGGGAGTGGAAGAAAGAATATGGAAGCTGCTGTCGAAATGGAAAGCGCTTGCAATGGCTGTGGAGAATCAGTGGGGTGGCCCTGATTCCATCCTCAAATCTCAAAAGCTTGCCTCCGATGTTCTCTCTTGCCTCTTTCTTTCCAAAGGTGAGGTGAAAGTCGAAGATTTGGAGAATTTGCTGCATGAAAGTTTGCTGCTTTCTTTCAACACAGAGATTGAAGATGGCAGTATCGACCAGGTTTATATTCGTATCCTCACCACACACACACTCCCACACACACACTATTTTGCTGAACATTTGAACTTTTCATGATTACTCACAGGTGGCAGAACAGTTGATGAACATACGTGAGGAATATTTACAGGGAAATATTAATATTATTTCTGTTCAATCAAACAATTTATTACACCAAATACATAAACAAAAAAGCACACCAAATTCTGCTAAAAAATCTTGGCCCTCTTATATATTGTAACCAAATTGTATACATATATATATTTGCCCTCCAGTCTTGTGTAAAAATGAACTCTTGTATATATATACATATATTTTTTTAATTTTTTTTAAAAACACATTTTCTATTACGTTACTAAAATAAAAAAAAAAAAAAAAAACCGGTAGAAAGAAAACCGGGTGAGGGAAGTGGGAGCCACGCGCCAGCGGTTCGTGGAAGAGAGATTCTCCGAGCTGGATACGGAAATACAGATATATTCCGACAAGGAAAATCAGAGTGGGAGGGGCAGAACGGTCATTTTAATTCATAATTATTGCCGTTTAATACTTCCTCCATTTGCGCACCTCTTGGCTATATAAATATCTGAATATAAACCATTTCATCTTATTAGGGTTTCTGAATTGAATTCACTGTAAAGCTTGCACACGGTAACTTTTGTTTATATGATTCGTTACAATCATTTAAACCGCTGTTTTTTATTTGAAATTTTGAATTTATATCAGTGATTTGGGCGATGTTCATCGCTAATCTTCAACCGATTTTTCAACATTTTCCCCCAATTTTTTTTTCTTGGTTGATATGTAAATTTGAATTGCTTTATTTGAGCGTTTGAATTGAATTCCTACATTCATCTTGTTTCATGTTTCTTAATATTTCCCAGGTTAAGTGATTTTATCTTTCTTTTTTTTCTTTTGTTTCTTATGCAGATTGAGGATTGCAATCAAAATCACAAGCCCTAAATCTGTCATCTCGCTCTCTTTTCGATTTTTCGGGGCAATCGTGTACATTTTCTTGAGGTATATGGTTGCTACATCGTGTATCCCTTGTTTATCAATTAGTAAATTGATTGAATTTTTTTTAAATGTAATTTAATTCGATTATCGACAAGTTTGATCCGTTAAGGAAGCATTTGAGTTTATGAACTAAGTTCGAGCTCCTCATTAAGGCTCAATCCTGAACACGCTCGAATCAATTGAAGTATTAGATGTTAAAGTTAGTTTAAAGTTATATCTGTAAGTTTTCATCGGTACTCGGAAAATGTGTTTTGTGACGTATGCTCGATTCGTACTCCGAAATGATATGCTTGCTATAGAAACAAACGTGGATATCTATCTATTCTCGGAAAGTTAATATCATCTCTTTGTTATTCTTTTACTTATCATTATTTGCATTAAAGGATTTGAGTATCGGTTGCATCCGTAAATGCTCTATGGCTACCCGGATTTATGAAATACTTGCATATTCGTGCGCAGATTAAATGACTCGAGAGCTGCAAAGCAATTCTATGGACATTGACGGTCCAGACTTAAGTAAAGCTAGTCCGAATGGGATGCAAGAAAATGGTCTTAACCTCTATCCGGTCTCTGCTACTGATTCAGGTGAAGGCCTTCCGTATGCTCCTGAAAATTTTCCGAATCCAGGAGATAAGTGGGGTTGGAAAGTCGGGAGAAGACTTGCTGCTTCCGGCCACTTTCTGGATAGATACGTTTATATACCAACAAGTCTGTGTGAGTCTGGAAACAGACGAGGATTCGCAAGCAAGCTCGCGTTTGAACAGTATATTCGAGGAAAATTCCCTGATACGGATATCGATGCATTTTTCGCCTCTTTTAGTTGGAGGATCCCTTCAACAGCTTGCAAGAATGGCCAGCTATTATTTCAAGGTTATCTTTGTTTAACCTGTGCTTGCTTAATCTAATCTTATATTCATGCATATACTAACTCAAGATTTCTCAGTGTGTGTGTCTGTGTACTATTCGTTATCGTATATCGGATTTATTTCTTGGTTTCTTGCAGTAAACTATAGTCTTGCATGCAAATATACATTTCACACTGCAAGTTTCTTGAAAATTGAGCAAATTATGTATAATCAGATATGCAGAAAAATCTAACTAAATTATGAAGTTATTTTGCATGTAAACTGTAAAACTTCAGTTAATGCTGATGCTGAATGAAAGACTTTAGAAATGTGTGTAGCACACTATTTTGTTCAACTACTATGTTTTTTCTTTACTTCCTAATTAATCAATAGATTGCTTTCACTGCAGACCGTAAAGAAACGCCCACATCGTTAGGGAAGGCAGCACAAGATCCAGGTGGCAAATTGCATTGCAAGGCTGGTAATAAATTTTGCAGCAGCTTAACTGGAACAGAGGACTCTGTTTCACAAGTCATGCCCTGTGATATTTGCTGCAGTGAGCCTGGTTTCTGCAGAGACTGTTGTTGTATACTATGCTGTAGAACTTTTGATAAAGCCTCTTCTTCTTCCGATAGCTACAGTTACATTACATGTGAAGCTAAAATTGAGGGCTTTATTTGTGGGCACAGCTGTCATATCGAATGCGCTCTACGAGCCTACATGGCGGGTACAGTTGGAGGGAGCATTGGTCTCGATGCGGAGTATTATTGCCGCCGGTGCGACTCGAGAACTGATCTGGTCCCGCATTTTAAGAAGCTTCTTGAAGATTCTGGATCGGCTGTTTTGGGTGAGGAAATTGAGAAGGTTCTGAGACTTGGTTTTTGTGCTCTGCGTGGGTCGGAGAAAACGAGTGTGACGGAGTTGTTGAGTCGTATTGAGTTGGCAATTTCAAAGGTATCTGAAGAAAAAGTGAAGTGATTATTTTCTTGAAGGAAGTTTTTTTTTCTTCGTTTTGACAGAATGTGATATTTACACCAGCTTAAGAACGGGACTTGCGTCGAAGATATTTGGAAGAAGGAAGATGTCTCTGCAGGCTCTGCTGGTATACTTTTCTCTGGCTTTTAACTAATCAATAAATTCGAAAAGCCAAAACATTGTACTCTATTATTTTTTTTAATGAGACTGCAATGATTTTATGAATTCTCTCTCAAATAACTTTTCAATATTATTCTTCGGTTTTACTTTTCATTTTCTATTTCCTTTTCCTTACGAGTGGCAAAGCCGGTATAGGGCCAACAAGGGGCTCCCACCATTTTTCGAAAACATAGTATCTCTATGCCCCAAAAATATTTATCGCTTTGGAGAATTTTTTTCCGTCCCATATTATTTGTCAGTTTAGAATTCCAATGAAGTATTAATTTTATATATTGTGTTATATTCCATGCATATTTATCGTGCACAACTATTCAGCACAGCATTTATTTTGGGACGGAGGGAGTATTTTATTTAGAGAACTTTTACTATAAATACGTCATTATTGTGATCAATTGAACCTCATATAATAGCAGGGCTGTCGCCAAATACAGAGAAAGACGAGCCACAAGACAGCATAACGGGCCCCCCTCAAGAAATTTCGTCAAATTTTGACCACCGGATCGAATCACTAAAACTCGAGGATGAAATCGATCACGTCTTGGATGCATTGAGGAAGTCACAAGAGATGGAATACAGACTTGCAGAGGAAAGGCTTTCATCTCAGAAGAACTGTATTTTAAATCTGTACCAGCAGCTCGACAAAGAGAGGTCTGAGCTATCGAGTTGTACATCGAGAAAGTACAAGGATTCGATGCTTGATAATGTGTTGAATAGAGTTGATCAGATAAAACGGGAGGTTTCGAAACTCAAAGACATGGAAGAAGTGGCTAAGGGATTTGGTAAAGTTCCTAAACAGATTCTGAAGGAACAATTTGGTGTTGATTTTTGAGCGTTGATTTGGGTGATGAGCGACTGACTGTTAAGGAAAGAAACCAGAGAATTGATTTTTGAGCGTTGATTTGGGTGATGAACGACTGACTGTTAAGGAAAGAAACCACAGAGAATATAATGTTCGAAAAATTGCAATTTTGTGCTGTGCTTGTTGTAATAGATACAGATTTGTAGATTCTGTTTGTATAATGAATTGATTGTATTCAGATAGTGTTGGGTACGCCTTGCAGTGAAGTTTTCAGGGGTACGTTTATACAAATGTTGATCAAATGTGAAATCGGTGCAAACTTGAGGATGAAAACTGTATTTTTTCGAATAAATAATATATATTAATTGATCTTTCCAAAACACTTCTTTAAGAATGGAAATGATCATACAACCATCACTGAACAAGTAATAATGTACATGGTTTTGCAATCACACCAAATGTTTCATACAATGCGGACGAGGTTTTAACGGATATAAAAGCATCAACTTATTTTTCACCATAAAACGGATCGAAAAAAGAGAGATTCGTTCCCCCACAATCACGGCTCGCCACCTGGCAAGAAAATCAAATGTCAAATGTCCGAATCCTCCTCTTCATGATGATGCCTCCTACGCCTACGGCGCATTCGTTTCTCTTTGAGCTTCGACTTTTTAGATAGTGCGCTGCTCGGTGAATCGGGTTGTGGAGCAATTTCCACATTTTCACGAAACCCAAACACGAGATCAAATGGACTCTCTGTAGTATTATTTCCACCGCCATTCACCTAAAAATAAAAATAAAAATAACCCGGGTTATCGTTATGGAAAATTATTATTTTTCAATTAAAAAAAAAGTAAGATTGTTTTTTAGGAGATGAACTCACGTAAACTTGCTTGGGCTCTATAGTGGTGGTGTTCTTGAAATTATTTTCATTTGAATTAGTTTCGTCGGTGTAGGTTGTGTTTTGAGAATGAGTAATGGGGTCTCCAGAAAAGTTTCGGAAGCGCCACCTAAGCGAGGGCTTGTCTACAGATGAATCATCGTAAACTTCTTCCGAGTAAAAACGTTTGGAGAGAGACTGAACTACCCAAGGTTCATTTTGATGCTTCTTCAACATTCTAAGCACACATGAGAGCAAATAACTAAACCAATCAAGAATATATATATATATATATAAAATCGGAAAAAGAAAAAGAACACTATAGCTCAATTCAACGAGTATTTGAAAAGTATTTAACTACACGATTGCACTTTTCAACTGTTATAACTAACCGTCGAAATCGGAAGCCAAAAACTTATGGATCACTTTCTGATCTTCACAGTTTCCGACTTATCTATTCTCGTTTTTAGTTGATAGATTGGATATTAGCTTAATTGCTACATTATAATATGAATAATAGATGGTATTCTAATGCAGACAAAAATGATTTTTCGGGTTGAGAAAATTTATTTTTTCAGGGTAGATCTAAAATCATATAAATCAAGATTTTCCCGTAAATCGAACTCAAAATCGAACATTACTAGTATCAGTTTAAATTCCAATAAAATCAGCCAACATAAATCATTGCCACAAATTAAAATATTTGGTAAGAACGTACATGTTGGCCATCTCACTTTGTAGCCGACTTCCTTCCAGTGCAAGAATATTCGTAACAGTTCTTTCAGCAGACCGACCAAATCTATATAATCCGTAAACAGCAGCACCACCTACAAGTATATAATCAACAAACATTTATTGTTTATTAAAAAACGAACGAAGAAACAAATAAATTAATTTAAGGAAAAAAAAAAAGGAAACGAGAAAAATATCTTACTAACTGCTAGGTTTACGCGATATAACGTACTTAGCCTCCGGGTGGCTGAAAACAATAACGTAGTACAGTTAGAATAGGCAACGAAGATTAAAATTTACTATATATCTCAACATATATAAAACCGGAAAAAACAGCAGTAATCAAGTGCTGTTTTTTTTTAATATTCTGAGGCCTCGTTTGGTTGTCAAGATAGGATTATCCAAGATTAATCTAATGAAGCTAAGATAAGCCATGGTAACATATTTTTTCCGGGTCGACCCGGGAAGTTATTGGGTTAACCAAACATCAAACAAAGTCCGATTACTTAGTTAATCATGGATAATCTCCCCAACCAAACGAGGCGTGAATCAGTTCTGTAAACGACTAAACAGATAAACGACGGCACCATGCAATTTAGCTACAAATAAATTTATTACTGCATAGAACAATTGGGAATAACGAAAATGAAAATAAACGAATACCGAGCCAACTCAACACTGAACCGGTGCAGAAACCCTTGGTGAACTCTTTCAAACCGGTAGCCCTCCACGTCATCATCATATTTGTTTCTTCAGGTGTCAATTGCTCCTGCCCATTTCATTTCAATGATCTCAACAATATTAATAAATAAAAATAAAAATAAAATGATAATAAACTAAAATACATCAAAACTTCAATTTTCCCCCTTTCTGATGAAATTACAATTCTAGGGTTTCGGCAATTTTAACCGGTCAAAATTTTCATCGCTCTTTCGAGAATCGAGCAATTCATCGTCAAATGTTCAGTAATTATTCCCGGAAAATCCAAAAAAATTACCCAATTAAAGATTAAAAAAAACGTACTTTTTTTGAGAATAGAACTTGCTCGAGATCGAATAGAGCGTGACCCATTTTCGTTGATCGATGAAATTTTGAATTGATTTCGTTTTCAGCTGCTGATTTCCACTTCCACAGGCGTATGCGTATTTTACTATTTATTATGTTGTACTCATTTATCTTGTATTAAAACTCTGTTCTTGGCCTTTTTATTGTCGCTCTTGCAAAACACGATTTATCTGGACTTCAGCGATTTTTGATTAAACTCGTGGTTCTACCAGATAGCCCAATATATTGGGCCTTAACCAAATGAAAACAACTTATTGGGCTTAAACAAATCCACTGCCTTTCCATTTTTTATTTTTAAATGAAAATAAATATATATTTTTTTTATTTCATCTTTACAACCTTAATTAACCAATAAATCACAAGAATTAGTACTTCAAAACAATTGTTTTTTTAATTGAATTTATTAAATCATGTAAAAAGATATGAGATATAAAATAAAACAGTATTCTGGATATATATTTATTTGGATCGATCCAATGAGCTCATTAATTATTAATCAATATCAGTCGTCAGTTTTTTACGTAATAACAAATTCAATAATCATTTGTTCGTAATGTCTCGCATTATTCACTAATTACTGTACTAGTAACTTAACAAGAATTAGTAACCTAGATATGAGTTTTTTTGGGTGGATCCAATGCGCCAATTAATTATTATTCAATATATACTTCGTCAATTTTCTACGTAGTAACGAATTTAATAATTACCCACTCGTCTGTAGTGACCGATGTCTCGCATTTCACATCAATTACTCAAAGTAAGCGATACAATGTCAATTCTATATATATGCTAATGACTTAAATACTATACTATCTTAATATTTTATAGCCTAAAATTTATTATTGAATTGAAATGCTTTATTATTATATAAAATTTCTTGATTTAGATTTTAGAGCTTAATCTAAATAATGATTTAAAATAGTATTTAAAAATTTTGCAATTGACTACACTAAAAAAAGAAATTGCAAATATTTCCCTCCATTTCTTTCATCAAACACCTTCCATCCATGGCCCATCCTCTTCCCTCGACACCCCTCGCACTCCACTCCGCCGCCGCCGCCGCCGCCGTCGCAACACCCCTCCTCCGCCACCAACCCAACTTCACCCACCGCATCTCCACCGCCACCTCTCTCCCCCACCTGAAACAAATCCACGCACACCTCCTAAGAAATTCCCACCATTCCAACCAGCAGCAGCACTTCTTCCACCTTGTTCTCTCTTCTCTCTCCTTCCCCTCATACGCCCTCTCTCTCCTCTCTTTCATCCCCACCGACGTCCCACCGCCGCAGCAATTCTCCAACAATCTCCTCAAACACCTCTCCCGCTCAAACAATCCCCACAACACGCTCTTCTTTTTCCAAGCAATCCAGGAGAAAGCTTTCCCCATTGACAGATTCTGCTTCCCGCCATTACTGAAAGCGGCTTCGAAAGCTCGGGCACTTACTGAAGGCAAAGTACTTCATGGGTTGGCGGCAAAACATGGGTTCGACTCCGACCCTTATGTGGAAACTGCTTTGGTGGGAATGTACGCTGCCTGTGGGCTGATCTCGGACGCCCGCCTACTGTTTGATAAAATGTCGCATAGAGATGTCGTCACTTGGAATATCATGATAGATGGGTGAGTCTCTTTCTAAGGATATGTTGAGATAATTTTACTCATATTGATTTTCTTTCGCCTTGTTATAGATAGGTTTGTTTCCTGATTGTGATTTTGATTTGTCTCCAATCAGTTATTGCCAAAGCCGACTTTTCGATAGTGTCTTGGACCTGCTGGAAGAGATGAAGAGCTCTGACGCAAAACCAGACGGAAGAATCTTCACTACTATTCTTTCTTCGTGCGCCCGAGTTGGGAAATTGGATATTGGAAAAATAGTGCATGGATTCATACAAGAGAATAAAATTGTGATCGACTCTCATTTGCAGAGTGCACTTCTAAACATGTATGCGAGTTCTGGCGCAATGGACGTGGCACAAAGTTTGTTTGACGAGTTGAAGACAAAGAATGTTGTGGCCTCAACTGCCATGATTTCCGGGCATTCAAAAGCGGGCAATGTTGAAGCCGCCCGGTTAGTGTTTGATGAAATGTCTCACAGAGACTTGGTGTGTTGGAGCGCAATGATTTCTGCTTATGCAGATAGTGATAAGCCTCAAGAAGCTCTTAACATATTTCACGACATGCAGAAACATGGACTTAAACCGGACCAAATTACCATGTTGAGTGTTATCTCGGCTTGTGCTCGCCTTGGTGCATTGGACCAAGCCAAACAAATCCATCAGTTCGTGGACCATAAAGGGTTCGGAAATTTTCTGCCTATAAGCAACGCCCTGATTGATATGTACGCCAAGTGTGGCAGCCTGGAGAAAGCAAGAGAAGTTTTCGGTCGGATTCATAGGAAAAATGTCATATCTTGGACAAGCATGGTCAGTGCTTTTGCTGTCCACGGTGATGCGGATAATGCATTGAAATATTTCCAACGGATGAAATTCGAAAACGTGGAGCCTAATTGGGTTACATTCGTGGGTGTTCTCTATGCTTGTAGTCATGCTGGATTAGTCGAAGAGGGTAAAAGAGCATTCGAGTCAATGGTGGATCGATATAGAATCACACCTAGGCTAGAACACTATGGGTGCATGGTGGACCTCTATGGAAGAGCCAATCGACTTGCAGATGCTCTCGAGCTTGTGGAGACTATGCCAATGGCACCAAATGTTGTCATTTGGGGTTCATTAATGGCTGCATGCCGAATTCATGGAGAGTTTGAATTGGGAGAATATGCCGCCAAGAGTGTTCTTGGGATAGACCCAGATCACGATGGGGCCCACGTATTTTTATCGAACTTATACGCGAAAGAGAAAAGGTGGGAGAATGTTGGAGAAGTGAGACGGTTTATGAAGCATAAAGGGATATTAAAGGAGCGAGGGTGCAGTATGATTGAGATGGATAATGAGATACACGAGTTTTTGACAGCGGATAGTAGCCATAAACGAAGAGATGAAATTTACGCAAAGTTGGACGAGGTGGTTGTTGAGTTGAGACGGGCGGGGTATGAGCCAAATACGAGCGGTGTTTTGGTGGATTTGGATGAAGTTGAAAAGAGAGAGGCGGTGCTTTGGCACAGCGAGAAGTTAGCTTTGTGTTACGGGTTGATAAGTAAGGAGAGACAATCGTGCATTCGTATAATCAAGAATCTTAGGATCTGTGAAGACTGCCACAACTTCATGAAATTGGCATCAAAAGTGTTCGATAGGGAAATTGTTGTGAGGGATAGAAGTAGGTTTCATCATTGCAGAGAAGGTGTTTGTTCTTGCAAGGATTATTGGTGAGAGGATCAAATTGATTGTCTTCGACAACATTCAGGTTCGTATAGTAAATATATGTTCTCCGTTTCTTTTTTCATTTCGGAATTTTTTTTTTTGCATCATTTGTGTTTTCTTGTGATTACTTTTCTGGGTTTTGAATTTCTTGGGGGCTATTAGTATTAGATGTGAATTTTTTTGAAAAAAGAAAAGAAAACTGGGATATGAAAGTAGAGAAATTAAAATGACATATATGTCCCTATAAGTTTTTACTCCCCTCCTTAATCACCAAAAGTTAAAAACAAAGGAATCTTTCATATCTTTTCCTTTTTGACTTGGGGGTTATTTTACCCCTCTTTAATATTTATTTTTATTCTATAAATTCTATTTATTGATGGAGTATTTGTAATTTCAAGATCTCTACCAAAAAAGGTTGAAGGAAAAAAGGAAAATTATTAATTTGAGTTGGTATAGTTAAATCTTTTTCTAGCCTAGAATTATATTGTCCTGTTTGTTAACTATAAACAAGCCATGTGATGTTAGATATTTTCACATATTTTCTGTGATGTGATTGATGAACCACTAGGTGTTGTGTATGCTACACCTAGTGGATTATATAGGTTAGTTGTCCGACTTTGATTTACACACAACCACACGTATATGCATGTATGTATGTGTGGCAAACTCGACACCATTGTCAAGGGAATTCGAACTTAGGTCAATTGAAACAAAGTTACTCCAACCGCTAGGTCATCCCTTAGGGGAGTAAGAGTTGAAATACTTGATAGTGTCACAAATTAAGTACATTGTTATGCTCTTATTTACTTAACAGCGTACACTTATGCTCGTTTCTGGATATGTGGAATATCGACTTTTTTACATGTCATAGTTTAATAAATATACTAAAATTCTTCTTCTTCTTCTTCTCTCTCTCTCTCTCTCTCTCTCTCTCTCTCTCTCTCTCTCAAAGAGATTTGGAGGATCATATTGGTGCATGAATATATTTCAATCATCAGTCATCACCATGCATTTGATAACAAAGTTTGACTTCTTGGAATGAAAGCTAAAATCACTTTTCCTCGGGGGGAAGAAAAAAAATGTTTATGCTTTCTCTTTTTCTCCATAGAGGAAAAGGATTTGAATACATTTAGTAGGAAAGTGAAACAAAAAACAAGAAAGACTCTGTACAAACAAAGACAAATAAAGATCTAATTATCCATTGAAAATGGATGATACTTTATTTCAACCAAAAAAAGATGAAGACAACCTCATCTTTTTTTCAAAACCTAGTAATAGGATGATATGCTTGATGATGATCTCGAGTATTTCTTGGATGAAGAAGATGACGACGACGACGACTGTGATGGTGTCATGTCGCCCGATCTCCGTCGGATCAGCATCTGCCTCATCCCGTCAGCAACACGAACGGCCGGATTCGATTTGTACTTACGGCAAAACGACATGTGTGCCTTAACAGCTTCGTCGGTCCCACATTGTTTCTTCCCTCTGTTAACTTCATCTCTCACAGCTTCTGAACACAGCCCACACAGCCATTTTCCGTCGAATTTCGCCTTCACTTCACTAATGTAGTCCTGTGTGCAGTCCTCCTTCAGTCCACAACACACACACTTCACCAACTCAATGTCCATGTTTATATGTATATATGTATATGGGTGTGTGCGTGTGTGTATGTTTGGCTTTCGAGATATGTAAGAAGGGCTTATGATAAGGTTTCGAAGAAATTCAAGAAAGGGGTTTATCAGCTTATTATTTGATATGACACTGGTGTCAAGAATTAGAGTGTAGAATGATGGAGAAAGAAGAGAACTTTATAGTAGGGAAAAACTTCCACAAATTTCTCCATGTTCTAAGGGACATTGGGCAGTGAAAAATAGACAATGTGACCCCCACCCCCACCCCCTAATGGTGTGGCCCCCTTTTATTTAAAAAAAGGGGAAAAAAAATCAGCAAGAGGGCTGATTAATTGTATGCTCTAATTGGCTTTGTCATGTTCTTTAGAATTTGTTTTAGCTGTTTCTTTAGGGGGTTTGAATTGAATTTTCTAATGGTTATGATTACCAGTTACTTTTTGGTTGACAATAGTTTGATAGGCTTCATGTGAATTCAAGAACCCTTAACTGGTTTGGTCTTTTCGAGTCAACGACACCAGTAACCGGCCCGTTGACCATGAAATCGGTCAATGCTGGACCTCGATCGAAATTTGAGCTTAGCCACGTCCATCATAAGATCATATATATTTATATATATTCAAGAACTGCATATGTTTTTCATATTTTTTTCCTTCATTTTATGCTCCGATGATTCAACATTTGGTGTTGTGTGAAAATTTGAAATTTATGAACGGGCAAATTACGGCCACCTCCCTGAAGTAAGATTAAATTGCGAAAAATCCCTCTTGTTTAGATAATTACAACCACCCCCTCAACTATATATTATCTTATGAAAAAGTCCCTCAGTTAATACGTAAATTTGACACCCGTAAGGGTGGAAATGTACGAGAATGTATAGTTGAAGGGGTGATTGTAATTACCCAAACATGAAAGATTTTTTTATAATTTTATCTTACATTGGGGTTAACCGTAATTTGCCTTATGAAATTAATGTGGAGATCTGAGTAGTGTGTTTGCATTGATGGCAGGTTCCTATGGCCATGATTCACCATTTAAAGAAAAACAATTATGCAGTAGATAAGGGGCATTGAAGTAATTATAAAAAATAGGGGATTGAAGTGGGACCAATTTGTTTATTGATTATTTATTTTATTTTATTTACTATTACTTCTAACATGAAATTGTTGTTTATGTAGTCATCACCAAAGATGGAGAGAGTACTAAATAAAATTTGCAATCCACGTTACAAAATATGTGAATGCATTTAATAATCACATACTATGAAGTTAATTATATGAGATTATTCCAATACCTAACTAATAATTCCTTTTCTCTCACGTAACGTTTGATAACATCATATCATTATTACGAAAATGACACGTTCAATAATTAAAGCATGATACTTCTAGATTTCCCACATTATATGCTATATTTATCGCCACTCAGAAGTCCATCGAATAAATTTCAGTCCTCTTTCAATAGTTTGCAAACTCCGCGATATAAAAATAGTGTTGGGTCATTTTCTTTTCATTGGAATTGATTAAATACGGGACTTCAATTTTCGATCTGATTATAATTTTTTAAAAACAATTCCAAAAACTTAATTTCCGATTTTTTTTTTCCGGAACAAACTTCCTATTCGTCGGAAATCCACACAATAATAAACCCATTTAGAAAAAAATATTTATAGTTGGACACAATAATTAGTTCACCAATTATCCAACAGTTAGTGATATGATTGTGTATTAAAATAATAATAATAAAGTCATAATTAGTACAATTGTTATAACTTA